TTGGTGAAGGTTGGAGGATAACACACGATGGAGGCCAGTAGGGATGATGATGGTGATGATGATGACGATGGCACGTCGCATTGGTGTCTTTTACGCACCCCTCCCCTCCTTTCCTAAACCTTTTCCGCCTCTGCTTTCTATTTTCACTGTCTGTCATTCTTCGCTATGTAAGTTGGTCTTTGTTCTCTTCATCTTTGGCCACGACAACTGGCTTTTTGGTGCATGTGTTCGATTTCATTCTTTGTTGTTGGGTTTAGCTCATAACGATAGTTAACAGTCAATCTATATTGTTTTTTTTTGGGTCCAAAGAATTTGTCGAACTCTTTACTGTTAAAACATATTTAAATTTTTGTATGAAAATTCGGAACACATTTTAATTTCTGCTTCTCATTACCTCTAGCTTGGTGGTAGTTGAGCTTTTTTTCTGGTTACCTTTCGAATTTGGAATTCGGGCTTGAATTTCAACCGCTTAATGTTCAGCTCGTTTGTACTTTGCAAACTTGTCCTTTAAAGGGTATGTGAGTTATTTGATGAAACAGCATCACCATTACAACTCCTTAAATTATGCTAATGATGGCGGGACCGATTTTACCGAAACATTGCACCTTTTACTCAAGCCGATGTCTCTTTTTGCACTACGAGGCCACAAGGTTATATCTGCCCTACCGAGTGTTTAGGTTACTTTTATTTGAGCAGTGCTGTATGTCCCTTTCACTTAATCGCCTTAATCTACTCTTTACTTGCCATCATTTTTCAGCTTTGAGTGGCTTTCATCGCCTCTCTTTATAGCTTTACGTTTCAAAGGCTATATATGTCTGGTGTTCATCGAAATTGAAAGCAGAAAATGGAAATGCAGGATAATTTTTGGCCGCTTTGGTATTGCCCGTGTAAGGCTATAACAAGTGGACCGCCTTCGGTACGTCTACATATAGCTTCTACGTATCATCAACAAAGGGACTAAGTAAAGAGGGGTGCTAAAAATTTAAGGCAAATTAATGACTTGGTAGTGCTAAGATATCAGCGTGGTAAGATTTTGTAGTTATACGACCCGATTTCCCAAAAGTAGAACTTTAGGGTGCCACAAATAAGTGACACGGGTGGCTGATTAAGCCCACCAATAACGCATTTCAATTTCAAGGTCGTCTGTGTTGCCTTCAGAATAAACATCAGCCGATCCGCTTGTCTACCAGCACATTTTGCATAGTTTGCTACACGTAGAGACACGACTCACCACCAAGAGTAGTCCACGACATCAGTGGGTTGGAGAGCCGTGGGAACTAAGCGCCGCCATGGGAACGTTCAGTCAGGAACACTGCATGACGCCTTTGGGCGATGAGGTTGGTGTGAGGACAACAATTGCGGCTTTGCTGGAACTCAAAAATCCCTATTTAAAGCAAAAAGTACCCAGTTTAAGCTATTCAATGGAACGGTCCAAATGTCATCAACCACTGGTGTTTGGACAGAGTTCTCTCGCATTTGCTTGATTCTTACAACGAGAGGGCGCCAAACACATCCATCATAGCACAGCACAGAAATCGAGGAAACGCATATTCTGCCACTATGTCCTCATTCTCAGACACGAAAGGAGGGAGCTTCAAGTAACCGCAAGTGGGATAGTCTTTCATGCAAAGACTGGGTGGGAAAATGGGCCCTGCTAACCAGTGACAACTTCTCTGTTCCAATGCTAGATTCCTAGGTCATGTCAAGGTCAAGAAGCAAGATTTAAATTAGTTTCTTATTAGTACCTTGCAAAAAACTTACAAATAAGGATTTTGTGGCTGATGTAACCCACAACCACATGAAAATTCGACAACAACTTAAGCAAACTGGTCGCTAGGAGAGAGAGTAGCATGTTTTTGAAGTTGTATACATTTTCCTAGCCATTAAAAATGTCAGATGTGTACAAACGTGGGACAGAGCGATGCATTCATGATGCAGCTGTGATATTGACAGCTAGAAGTTAGAGGATGAGAGAGAGACAAAGAGAAAAACATCTGACGAAATCCTCAGGAGATTTGTTAATGACTTTCTCCTTTCTTCTCACGCTCCCAATAGACTAGCCACGCTGAAACTGTTCCCTGAGGGGGCGGGCAGATTTGTGGAAGTTTCAGAAGATGCCTCTGCCCCATGTTGAAGAGATTGCAGCAGTGGTGTTGTTGAGGACGCTTCCAGTAGAGGTGGAAGAGATGGTAAAGGAGGAGGAGGTAAGAGACCTGCAGTTGTAAGACTATTTAACAAGGCCGCAAAAACGTCCATGGGAGGGGGCGGTGGAAAGATGCTCCTTCCGCTGCTAACATTAGCACGACCAGCACCGGTGTTATCGTTTACACGGAGAGGGAAAAGAGAAAGAGGCAGACCGGTAGTGGAGATCGTGTGGGAGGGCGCAGGAGGAGTTGGGGAAAGAGGTGGAGAGTCACTGTCCTCTCCGTCGCCAGGGCATGACAATCCCAATGCGCGTCGCACCTTTCTTTGAGCTCTTCGTCGACGAAAGTCACCTCGCCGAAAGTCCTCTACATTGGCCGGATGGATTCCCCAGTAGTGACCTTTGCCGTTGGAAGAACGACCTGCAAGAGTTGGACATACCTGGACTTGCCATCTGTTTTTTATCCACCTATCTATCTGTTTGCCAATTCGAAAATTTCTACACCTTTCTATTGGCCTATCCACTACTTAATTTTTTTTTTAATTATCCATTTGGTCTTGCATCTTTTAAGCCTCTTAGTCAGTTTATCCGCTCTCAATACACCACAAAATTCTCTATCTATTCCAACATCCCATATGCATCCAACCATGCACTTATTTTTTATTGTCTTAGCTTATTTGTTAAATCTTAATTTTATCCATCCGTTTCTTCATTCTTCTATGACTGGTCAAATCAAAGATCTCAGCTTCAAAACCATCCGTAGCTGATGATAAAATTGTTGGTTTGATATCAAAGAACCTACCAACTTTGATAAAACAGTCATTCAACGAGAGGTTATGTCGAATGGAATTCCTCCAGCCTGGCCCTCGACTGCGGAAATAGGCGTAGTTGACCTGAATCCACTCGTAGATCTCCGACAGCACCATACGCCTTTCCTTGGAACTGAGAATTGCCTTTGCAATGAGACCTGAATGTTAAGCAGCATAAAGTCAATCCTGATGCCTGCTTCTTCGGTAGAATGGTCAGACTTGGAAGCATATGCACCAAAAATGGAATACAAAATGTAGACTTTAATGAAATCGAACAATTTTGGGTGAAAGTAATAATAGCATTGTGGAACCACTGCCTGAACCTTCAAATTGTTCACGTTGCCATACTGTAATATGTTATCTGGCCCTTCTTATAATTGCAGTCGTTCAAAACCTTTTTCCCGTTTTTTTTCCTCCGAATGATTTTCGTTCTGCACACTAAAATAACTAATTTGAAAAATCCGCGAGCTTTGCATTTATTGATCGGTGAGCAGTAATCGATGCAACAAGCGTGTACACGTGCAAAGGCACAGCGCGAAACATTCAGCTGATAATCTGCCAAAAAGCACGCCAATATTTTCAATTATTTCCTCCCTTTTTTGGTTTTTTTCATTTTAATTGTCAATCTAATGGGAACGTGAATATCCAACCCAAATGCAGTGTTAGTGACGGGACGAGTGGTTAAGGCGGAAGTCACGTTGCAGAGTGAACGTTTTTAACGCACGTTGATAGTCAACAAATTTCACGACAATGGTTTTTTTGTAAATACCTTTTGGTATAGTGTTCTTATAAGACCAAACTAAACTATTGTTGTATTATTTTTCCGTTATTTATGAGGTATCTACTATCCATTCGATTAAGGGAATGTGTTTGTGCGACTGCATATGTTAGGACTCTTTCTAGCTACTTTCTACCTGTGGATCCAAAGCACACGTCCGCAAAAGGCGGTAGTGGAATTGGATGACAAATTACCCCAAATCCTGACTATCTTAATTATTTTAAGGAAAAAAGGGCGAGAGGCCATGGCACACACATACTGCTGCAACCCCTCCGCGGGCCTCTTCACGCCTTTTTGACACATTCTGCTTAATCTTCATCGAGTTGGTTTTTGAAACAAAGATAACGCCCTCTTTCAGACCCTATCAGAAATCCTTTCGCCGAAGCGTAATTAATGTACCTTACGTTGCATTTGAAAGATGTCTCATCAATGCCACTTATTATGCAATAAAAATGCTATTAAAATGCAAATTTCGTCAGATTGGGATGTGCAATGAAATGTACGGAAAGGGAAGATGCTACGATAAGGGAAAAGTGGAGAGAGATGCATGTAGCGGACTACAGTACGTTAACTAGATCAAATGAGGAGTCAGCGGAACCGGTTTGTGGAAATGGGTGGTTAATCACTGCCTGGGTGTTTAGTCATGGTAAAGGGAAGTTCAGTCCAATTTGGATGACTACCTCTATTTGAGAGTACTTGCAATTTTTTTAAACGTTAGATTCTGCCCACAATGCTATTTTCCTTATGCAAGTAGCCTAACTGATGAATCTTATGTTCTTAAAATCGCATCTACCGCCTAAAGTTGGAGTTCTAGCATCCCCTTTTTATCTACTAGGGTTTTACACGCTTCTTTTTGTGCTAAATATTTCAACGATCAGTGGGTTGATTAAATTTATAAGGTTCATTGTTAGTTCTCATTTATAATCCCTACTTCTCGTTACTCAAGATTCTAAATAAAGACTTCATTTCCTTGACTGCTGGCGAAGCAAGTATTCTGTCTTGTAAACTCCTCCAATAGGTGTCAAGCTAATTGCAGAGCAAAGAAATTGTAAAGACAATTGCCTTGGAAACATTAGATTTGATTTGAAATTCTAAATGGCATGCAGAGCAAATTTCGAGACGCAGCTATTTCAAACTATCGAATAAATCAAATTGCTTTCAGCGAGTGCACAATTGCAAAATGAGTTTTAAATAAGGCGTTGAAAATTTAGTCTATTGTTGTATCATACTCCTTTCAAAAGTCGAAATGCAACAACATTCACAAGTTTTGGCATTTCTGAATGTATAAAAAATAGAAGAGGATGGAAATTTTTTTAGCTGGCAACATGTTATGGTAATTTTTCCTATTTACGTCGAAATAGCAATTTAAATAGGTAGTAATGCAATAGCTTTTAAAGCAAAAACCAACTTCAGTAAGCAGGGCAAGTCTTCTTTAAATCCTAGGACTCTTTTATACTCACCAATGTAACTGAAGTTCGGTTTTGGCTCGTCATCCGGAGACTTTTGCTGCAATCGGTAATCAGGTAGAAGCATGGAAGCCCCTCCAGAAGGTGAGCAAAATCTTCCGGATGCTCGAGAAAAGAATGGGACCTCTAAATCACGCATGCTTGTGATGGTACTTGAGCGCCCAAGTTGTGTTGCCGCCGTCGGCTGTAGGGACGGAAATGGCGGTGGTGGTGGCGGTGGTGGCGGCGGTGGAGGCGGCTGCAAGAACCCACTATTTAGTGATTTCAGTTCCTTCATAAGGAAGGCCGGAGCACAGAGGTTAAGTGGCACCAGCTGGCCTCGTTCGTCCATCCAGTCTACCCTGGAGTTTATCAAGTGAAACTTTCCAGCATTAAAAGGGAGATGGTAGGAGGATGGCAGAGCTTTCGAATGGCCCTCAGCCAATCGCAAACTGCTGCGCTTTTATTGTTACACTGTTTGCCTGTTTTGTTTGCTCTCCAGGTATCCGCGCGTGCAAACAGAAGGAGCGACGACGCGCTCACCCCCCATTGGCTGCGCTGCTATGTGTGCGTGCGTGAGTGCGCGCATTACACCAAACGCACGACAGCGATTGATCTACTACTTTTACACTGTAGGCTTTTTACTGGTTGAAGATTGTGTAGATGAGAAAAAAAAATAAGGCACACATTTGACTGAGGGCGCGTGCGCTCAACTTCGTGATGAATAATGAGAGGTGGACGAGGAGGTTCAGATGCACGAGTGTGTACGCAATGAGGAAATAAAAGGAAAAAATTGTGGACAAAATGCAAGTTACATGCATTTCTGCGTACGCATGAACTGTAAAAGGAGGAATGAAAGGCGGAGAAGGAAATTAATTGATGATTGGGCCTAGACGTTGGTGCGATGCTAATGATGAATAAGGGACTTGTGGTTGTAAAATTTTGGAAAGGAATTTACATGCATGCAATTTTAAGCGAGTTCTTTTTTATTGTGTCGGAAGTCAAATCATTCAAGCTTCTCTTCAGCGAAATACAATTTTTGAGAAGGATTTTTTTCATTTTTTAACAGGCTACCACAATTTACCGCCGAAAGATGTTGATCGGATCCCTTAAAAAGGTGTTACATTTTTTTGTAAAATCGGAAATAAAATCAATTATTTCCAAAAATTTTAAGTTGGATTATGATGGTAACAATGATCATGCATTTTCGTCAAATTCAAGATGGCTTATATGGTATGGAAATGGTAATGTTGAGGACTTTTTATCAAATCGAAAAAGTATATCACTTGCAGCAGCTAATCCATGTAAACATTAATTCCACCTAAAGGAATTACATCTCCTTAAAACTCTCTACGGAGTTTACGCTGTTATAAGGTTTAAGTTGGCGATAATTTTTGTCGCTACAATTGCTGTGCTTCTTATTTAACCTCCGGTGTCGACTGAAACCATTGACCCATCCTGCCAATTCCAATTAAAGTCTAGTTCTAAACAATTTAGACCCTTAATTTGAGGAATCTGATTTCACTTCTGCTTTGGGCTGTTACCGGTTGAACTGTTGATAGCACACAGTTCCTATGGCAGCAGAAATTTAGCATTTTAATGGTGCGGATTTGAATAGCTTCACAGTAGAATAAATTTTTATGCATTTTCACACATAAAGAGTCCAGAGACATCTTCTCAGTCGAAAAAGCCAAGCTGCTGATGCTGAGTACTTATTTTTTAGCTAACGTTTGGAAACATGGCTCTTGAGATTGAGAACTTCTTAAATTTCCCGACCAACAAAGCGATATTTGTTAAGAAAATTTACCCATTCCTTTACAAATCGTGGAAGTTTGATGACGTTGATTTTTTGCTATTTGAATTGAGCAATTAAGATAACTTGATAACCACATTTGCCTTCTTCCTGCGTTTAATCCTTCAGCATGTCACTTTTGCCAAAATGTTGCACCATCCCGTTTGTAGTGTCGGCATAAACTCATTGACCAATGTTGACAAACTAATTTATTTTTAAAAGGCACTTGCTTTCAATCCAACCTATTTCACCTGTTTCTCCCCACCTCCTGTTCAAGTTTTCGTGCTAACTAACATTGCTAGCAGCGTTGTACGCAGAGGATTGAGGACGCCTTTTAATTCTACCCCAAGACTGTCCATCAGTCATTCATTTTGCCAATTCGCAAATACGCAACTGTGAATGCTAAGAGCTTAAACTTATGAGTTTTTACCTACTAATGCTCATGGTTGCTTCTGAGCTTCCACAACTTTATAATCCAACTCTCGATATTTATTTCTGCCATCAGCGTTTTAATAGCCTTCTTAATACCCACTTAGCGGAAATTGTGGAAAATTGTTCTTCACTTGAACACAAATCAGCGGCAAATTCACCTCGAACAGAATCATTACCAAAAACACATTTATCACTTAAAATTTTCCGTTCAGTATGCTTTTCACCTGTCGCATACCACTCCTCCTCCTCCTGTAGATGCTGCGCAAAAAATTGCGCAAGCGGCCTACACAAATGTGGAACAGAAGCAAAATCCGTTTGTTAAGCAGACACAATGCCGGTACCTCTTTTAATCCGTTTGTGCAATCGCATTGGTGTGCGTCAATTGAATCACCCACTTAATGTAATGGAATTTTACCATTAGTAATAAATAAAGGGATCACTTGCTATTGATACGATGAAGGACGTTGCACGTGCAATAATTTTAAAATTTTGTATTTTTTAATTTAATAACAACCATTTGGTAAAATTTGGCCTCAATGATATTCAATTGCTTGAGGTGCTTTCTGAGGTCGCCTAGTCCAGCCACTGCAGTGTCAATGATTCCATCATTGCATCACTCATGCATCCTTTTCGCCATTTGATGAACTAGAAAAACACTTCATATGCACCACTAAAGCCATCTCCTCTTTCCGCATGAAGCTGTAGCCTCCAAGCCAGTTTAAAACGTGACATAAGACTCCAGCACAGAGGCAAGGCTTTAAAGGCAGTTGAATGTCAGGCGGTCAGTCTTGCTTCAACATAATATCCTTGATAATTGCAGGAATAATATAATTTTGTGCCTAAAGGCCATTATTAA